TAAAAAAAGACATCAGTTCTCTCCTTTCCATCCATGTGGACCAAGCAAAGCTTACAGTGGAACACTGTGACTGGTGTTTCTTTAAATGTTTTGTTGTATCGGATTCTCCAGTGAACACATAGCTAAACTGTCTTCATAATTCAGTCTACCCATATGCATGGGCATTCACATCAGCCCTGAGTGTGCGCAGCACTGTGGGAGACACTGCAACAAGCAGGTTGTGTACCATAAAGAGACTTACATTAGCTGGGTTATTCTTTACTGTTTCCTCTTGCCCTCAATTATGACTAGCAAGAGTTCAACTCATGAATCCAAAATAAAAACACAGTAATGGCTCCCCCTCTACACGAGAACCTCTTCAGTGACAGATATTGTTGATAGACATCCTCTCAGGAGGTTTGCAAGCTCTCTGCCTCTTTCTTTTCAGCATAACTCACTCTACAAACAACTGAGAAAATGTTCTCTTTGAGCTTCCAGATTTATATTTATAAACCACAATAAAATCATTCCTCTCCTCTTCCTTAACTTTTAAAACCCAAAGGCTTTTCGTTAGCATGAGATATGACCACCTCTATACCAAGCCCTCTCTGATATACTGTAACCACTTTCTCTCCATACCCAGCTCATAATGTTGCCTCTCATTGGGCTTCATTTCCTCAACAATCAGGTTTGAACCCAGTGTAGACCCTTGCAAGGGCTTTCTCTTTGAGGTACACTTGGCCTTGGTGCTGCAGCTGGCTCCTGTCAAAGTTCAAGTACATTACCCATGGGAAGCCTGCATGGTTCTGAACAGAAACAGAGGAGGAGTGTAATTGGGTAGGGGAGGGAATGGCAGGAAAGGAGGGGAAACTGCACTCAGAACATAAAAAAAATTATTTAAGTAAAAAAAAAAGATTAATTCAGTTCTGTCAATTCACAGAGAGGAAACAAGCAGGAGCTTACCTAGAAAATCATGGACTAAGTATTTTCATTACATCTTTTCAATCATGGAACTTCTTATGTATACTTGTAATACAAATACTCTTAGACCCTGGGCCAGCCTTGGTACACATTCTGTCTTAGTTCTTGCTCCCTCAAAATGGGAATTAACGAAAATAAACATACCAATTAAAATTCTCTCTTTCTCTCTCTCTCTCTCTCTCTCTCTCTCTCTCTCTCTCTCTAGCAAACTCAATTTGAGAGTTGAGTAATTACTAGCAGCTGTTTATTAGTCTAGGCTAAATGAGCACATGTAAGAAGGAATGGTGGGTTTAAAAGATCAGGGCCATATTTGTGTTACTTAATCTAACATGTTTCTTATTTTGTATTTTTTTTCATAGAAACACTAAAGTCTGGGAAAATAATGCTGGGCACTAAAGCAATGTTTGGAACTTTACAAATCATAAGGAGAAAATAGTAAGATGTAGTGGGGAGATTAATTCAAATAAAAGTGCAATGAACCATAGTTAAACCAATTTATAAAACAAATTTTGTTATGGATTGCCCAAAATTGAAACCGAATCTGGTATTTTAAATCTGTGCTTCATAATCAACAGAACAAAACTCATGCTTGTAACATGCAAAACTCATACTTGTCAACGAAGAATCACCTGAATCACATTTGACATTTACAATGCTGTAATCAATATGTAGGAGTCTTTGAAGTATTGTGACTTTCCTCTATGGCTTTGGTATACCATTTTGAAAAATCATCTATTTTTCTTGCAGTATCAACTATGCACCCATTTAAAATTAGCTTCCTTAGCACACCCACCTGTGATGTACAAAGCAGTGTTGATATATTAGCAAGACCCAAAGCTGGAAGTCATACACATTCAAATTCAGGTTTCAAACTTATCACAAGAGTGGAAACCCTGAGGAAGTACTTAACCCAAAGACCCTGGCTTCCTCTGCTGCAAATATACTCTTAATATAATTTATAAACTCTTCAGCATGCATCCTACCTGGCTGAGAAATCTCTCAATTTATAAATGCTAAGAGAAGAAGCATATTTCAACATGCTGGTATGGTTTGACTGAAATATTGCTTTTTTTCAAAGTCAGAACATGAATTTCTGCACTTTAAAAAAGTGGTTAACATTAGGTATGCTTCTAGATGAGTCTTCAAAACTTCATTTACTTGAACATTGTTTGAGGCAGAAGTTCTAATTATCCAGAAATGGTACATGCCTGTCATCCTAGTATATAGAATGCTGAGGCAGAAGGATGGAGTATTCTAGGATTACAGAGTGAGACCCTATTTCAAATACCAAATGATAAAAAGCTATCATACACTGATAAGAGCCATCAACTTGTGCTGGTTTCCATTAGATCTTCTGTCTTTAGCGCTTGACAGTCTCTTATCCCGGAACACCCTTTAATCCCAGAAAAACCTATGCACGATTTAGTCATCCAGAAACTAATCATAATGTATCAATTAGATGATATAATATCAAGGTATTCCTAGGCAATGAAAGTAGAGAAAATATTATATATGGTCTTGGCCTTTAACACCCCTGCAAAGAATATGAAAAAATGAAAAAAAAAGCATCTTACCCTAATCATAATGGCTCAGAATGATATTCAGCAAACTTGATCCTGTGCTCTGAAGGTGGCTGATCAGTATCTTTCACTAAATTGCTTTGAGCACTTTTCATTTCAGAATTTAGTATCTAAACAGATTTTAATGACTTCTGATATGCATGTGATTGATACAAAATCTTATCAAAATATACATATAACCACCATTCCTTGATTTACAGCGGTTCTACTCACTCTGTATAAGGAACTCACTTAAAATATGCTTTGAAAAATGCTAACAGTCTGCTTGCTTTTTCATTATTTGAAATTCATTTCCCAAAGGTAGTGACTGGCACAGCATGTTCAGTTGAGAACAAAACTCCGATTCTCATAAACAAGTCAGTTCCAGGTGCAGTACCGCAGTGGTTACTCAAAAGTTAGCCAGTTCTAAATGTTTCCTAAGATTGTCATGAAAAATTTTGCATTCTATCTTTACTCCTTCAAAACATTGAACAAGTCCCTTAGCTTGCCCTTAGCAAGGCAGAAGTACTGCAGCAGGGAGACAGGGAGCCGGCATCTGTCCTCTATGGTAATAAGTCACCGAGGAACACCACCTGGAGGGAAAAGATGTCTTTCCATAGACTCTAAATGCTTGAGGCTGTAACTCCACCTGGGTGCAAGAATCCTGCTCATGTTCTTCACTGCAGTGCTGCAGGTACCTTGGACGCACATGATGTGCACAGTTGTTCAGCAAATGACAGTCCCTGGTAGAGTGACTTCTTAAGAGTGTTCAACCTTTTAGAGCTATGCTCCCTGGGATAGGCCTCTTGATTGCCAATTTCATTGGATCTAGAACCAACAAACAGACATGCCTCTGGGCTGGCAGAAAACAGAGGGGTGGTGACTCTTCTCTAGAGTGTGCAGCACAGGGTGATGTTAAAAGCACCTCTGCTTGGCTGTTTGCCTTCAGGTTTTGTGGTGAGGTATAGATCCCAGTGTTATTTCTGCTTTCATCACCTCACCCAAGCTTCTTTGGCCTTCCATCATAAATAAAGGGCAGCTGCTTTCCAGAAAATTTCCAGACCTTCAAAATCACACTGGGACTACTGGGCATTCTGTTTTGGGATCATGACAGCAACTGGCCTCCGATCGTTCAGCATTTGGACAGCCATAGCTCAGCTACCGAGAGGTATACTGTGTAAGACAATCTAACTTATTCTTTTTTTTATGATATCAAACAATTCTATCCATCCTGTTTGTCTAGAGAAAGATAACTAATGCATTCTACTTTTTCCAGAACCAGGAGGTATTCATCGAACTGATTCCTCCTTGAGTCAGCTCAATGTCACAAATTCGTACAAGGGTTTGGTGGAAGTATGTCCATCCATCATTTCGAGGAACAGCAATCTGCTCTCCAGCATCATAGATCTCTCACCCTGTTCAGTTTCTGTAAAAGTCCCGTGACTGAATGATCTCCTTTACCACTGGAGAAAACCTGTAAATATTTTTGACACCAGTAAACTTAAGTTTCTAAGTCAATTAGAGCACAAGGTTACTGCCACAGACAGGGTCTGATTATAGGGAGTTCAGGTAATGTCAACTTTAGCATCCATCAGCAATTTTAAGGAAGGATTTTTCAGCTACTGGATAGGAATTATTTTAATAAAGTGCATGTGATTACTGAAATATGTTCCTGCTGTGGAAAACAAAGCTCACGCCACACTTTCTGTAAAATAAGGGCTGAAATTGTCCATTCAAGGCTTCAGCACCTACTTTGTGATGTATTTAAGATCCGATAGAGACTTATAAATCTATGTTAGGTTTTGGCATTAAAGACTATGGAGGAGACTATGGAGGTTCTTAGTCATTTTAAACATTTGACAAGGGAATATATTTGTTGTCAGAGAGCCTGCTTTTGGTCCTGGCTGCCCTGCTAGCTTACACCTGAAATAATCACACAGAAATTATATTAATTAAATCACTGCCTGGCCCATTATCTCTAGCCTTTTATTGGCTAATTATTACATCTTAATTTAACCTATTCCTGTTAATTTGTGTATGGCCACATAACTGTGACTTACCAGTAAGATTCTAACCTGCATCCGTCCCGGGCAGGAGATCCATGGCATCTACCTGACTCTGCTCTTCTTCCCAGCATTCCGTTCTGTCTTCCCCACCTACCTAAGTTCCTGCCCTATCAAAAGGCCAAGGCAGTTTCTTTATTCAACCAATGAAAGCAACACAGAGACAGAAGGACCTCCTACACCATATATTGAAATTTCCTTTTCTAAACACAATTGGATTTGCACTTTGGTCTGTCCAACTATGTGTATATGTTATAAGTTCATATGTAACATATGTGAACATGCACACACATATATTTTCACACCTATACACTCAATACATATAGGATCTATACACATGATAAGATTTATAACTCGGTGAGTACAGACAGCAGTCTTTTTAAAAAATAAAAATCACATTTATAAATTATTCTTTTACCTTTGAAGTTTACTACACCAACTGCAGTTGAAGCCAATCTGAGAGGATACACAAGGACCACAACCATTGAACTGCAGACATGCTAAGAAACAGGAGAGAACAGACTCGTGAAGACTAATTAACAGTGTGGAGAGAGAGAGAGAGACTACTTATCTAAAAGTATCACCACCCACCCCTTTACACACTCAAGGTCAGGATACTCATGCTTGACAAGCACAATTAGAATTACACTCTGAACAAAATAGTTATAAGTCAACTTACTGTCAAACTTGATGTTTTTTCCATTTCACTATCTTAAATAACTTACTGGGGAGTGGGGTCATCTCCACAGCTGAAATGTTGGTAATTTTTGACATTTGTAGTTCTACTCGGTGATATTCATAAATTGTTCTTCTTCGAACATCTACAAAAATAACAAGTGACAGAAAATGAGCTCTGACTACTTCCCCACTTTTAAGCAAGACTACTTTAATAATAGACATAGAAGTGCTACCCATTCCTGAAAAGTCACTTCAGCTTTAATGGGGGAGAAACCGTCATCTTATCATTGGGATTCCATGCATCAAATCCTTCAAAATATGGAAATCTATCATGAAACCTCTAAGATTGTGTGTGTGCTGCAGTTAGCTGGAGGCTTGCTACCTTGGGGAAGTATTTTAAATCTTAACCTACACTTTCCACATCAATGATAACAACATTTCTGGTTCTATATGTACATGACATAAAGGTTTAGTTTTGTAATTATTAGTCTCTTCATTGGATGGGCTTTAACTTGAAGTTGTCTTAGGTAGGGAAGCATATAAGTTTCTGTTCATTCTGTCACTCACTGGAAAGCTCTTCATGTTAGGAGACTGGAAAATAATCACTAATCAGATTCAAATTGAAGGAAGCATGCATATTCTCCTTAACTAGTAACAACTGAGGAAGGCAAGCTTCCTCCATTATTAGAAAAATGTGATTTCTTGATGTGTTTCCTTGATATAAGGAGTCATGGCATCTTCTTTACTCTTTAACTTTTGAGAAAAAAAGATAATGGCTGCTCATTATTTTCTTCCATCTTTATTGAATAAGTTCCTAATGTCTTTCTTTCCCATGCGTTTTGCACAATTTAGTTCCTAGAAGTAAAAAGAATAAAGGTTTAAAATACAATTATTAGGATGAAAGTTCTCAGGTTTTCACAGGAAAGTTTGGGAAGGATCCATCATATGACCTGATTTCTACTGTCTTGGTCCATTGTTCATGTCACATTTTACATTGAAAACCTCAGGTAGTGGAGATGAGTGGGAAGCCCTGGAGTTAGTTATTGATAGGGTGTAAGGACTGAAGGGAAGGAGAAACCATTTTCTATCCAGGTTCCCTTGATTGCCTAGTGCCCCAACTATTGAGAGGAGATAAATTTAACAATTCTAAAATGAATGAGAATCATTTTGTTTGGTGACCTGCTGGTCGATGACAACTTCCAAATGATTGCTTCTGTCATAATTCAGAGACAACTCTGTTTAAACACAAGCCATTAGGAATTTATTCACTGGTTGACCCTGCCAAGCCTAGAAGCTTTCATATGGTTTCAGAAATGTATTTAGCTCATATGTCTTCAAGAAAATAAGCCAAATAATGTTAAAATAAATGTTTATTACTTTAATTACTTTCTTATAATTTTTGAAAAACTTAAGATTGACTATAAAACTCATCAGTGAAAGACTGTTATAAATTAGAAAATAAAATCAAATAAACCTTCTCCAGGAGAGTAACACCTGGAGAAAAAAAAGAGTCTCGTGATTGAGATGTCCTGTTGATACGACGCAGTGTGCAAATGTTGAACTGTTGGTTTAAGGAAGTCTGATTTCCATCAGGGTGGGTGAAGGGACTCTGGCCAGCAAGAACATGATGGTCATGGCTCTGGCAGGACTTGCCCTTCTCTCCCATTTTCTCTGCATTGCTAAAAACCATTAGATTATATTCCTAAAACTAGACACCAAGGTCTATTCCTTTATTTGATCACTTCCTCCTCCTGAGGCTTACTACCAAGATCGAACTTTTGAAGTGCTGAAGTCAGCAATGAAAAGCCTCCGTTGGCTCACCTAATAAACATGCTCAACTAAAATGATTGAAACTCATCCTAACATGGGTTTCCCCTTTTCCCTTTATAAACTGCTGTCTTCCTATGACACAGCTGTCTTCCCTCTATCCAGCGGCAGTCCTTTGGTTTTTCTTTGGGGAAAAATACCCCTTACCCCTCTCTCTTGTTCCCTTTTCTTCTCCCTGGTCCTCTGTCTCCTGTCTTTGTCTCTTAGTCTCTGCCTTCCATCCCTCTGGGGCAAATAAAATTTCCTTTGTGCCAAGATCTTGGTCTTGGTGTGTCTGAGCCAATACAGGTTCATTTAGTAGGGCCAGTGTGGTCATACGGAACCTCTAAAAATCCTATCCCTCTCCACATTCTCCCTCAGCTAGATTCGCTGGATTCTGCATCTTTGATAGCAAGTCTTAAAAGCAAATATTCATAAAAGAATATAATGGTAATTGCCTTCATTGTCCTATCCTTGTATTTCATAATATCTTAGTCCACGGAACAGTCAAACATACGTTTGCTGTCATTTTCTTATTTCTGTTGTCCATGCTTAATGACGGGTTCCAAATGATTATATCTTATTTGTTTTCTAATCCAAATTGGTCCCAGCCCTCAGCACAGGCTACCCAGTACTCTTCAAAGTAAACAGTAGGCCATGCACATAACAAGATTCATTCATTCTCAACATGAAGATTCAGGGAAAGTAAACAAAAAGTTAAGGAAAAACAGGATACTATTACAGCAGTAACAAGCTTCCCACTCAAAGATGTAGTAACAGACTTAGCTAGTGGAAGTAGCAAACAAAGTATAAAGAAGATCATGTCTTAGCTACAAACTTTTTCTAATTTTATTGTAATTCTATGAAACATCAGTCAAATGTTAGCTAAGACAGCATAAATCTGGATGACCATGAAGTGTGTTTACTTTATCTTATGTGCTTCTTTCTAATTCCATCTCTACTTAGCACAAGTTTCAGGATATTGCACAAGTCTAAGGGAGAGGCTAAGAGTCACATTTCAGCCATTATTTTCCCACGTGTAAAGGAAATCAGACCTATGGGTGGGGGGATGGGGTGGATATAACATTTTCCCCCTCTTCTTTCTCATCCAGCTTCCTGTTCTCAACTTGCTTCATTTTCTCACTCTATTTAGGAATCATCTGCCCAGAGATTTAGAAGCAAGTGTGTCAAAGGAGGACAGAGTGGAGTCTTCACAGACCTGGGAGTAACATGGCTCTCCAGGCCCTAAGGAAGTACATCCCCCTGCTTCCAAGATTGTGCAATTCACACTTGAAATGCCATTAAATTGAGCGCCATGTTATTAAATCTTAAGATATTAATTATATTTTTTTCTTTCAGAGAAGAGAAAAGAAAGCAAAGAAAATGAAAACAAAAGAAAAGAGCAATAATGACTTCATTAAATGGAAATTTGTGGAATGGAGTATGATTTTTTTTCCACCTTTAGAATCAAATGTCAAACAAAACAAGCACAGGCAGAACAGTGGATAGTATTTAGGAATCAGTTATTTAGATATGAGGCTTACACCACAGTGGGACAAACTGTACTGAGAAGGAAGTTTTCAATATCAAAATTCAGTTGGGAGAATTAATATTCTGGCACTATATAAGTGCAGGTGACCAGAGCCAGAAAGACTACAATGCCCCCATAGTAGTAGGTAAGTGTAACGAAAACAAATATCTGATATGTAGTAGATGAGTTAAGCAAATACTAAAATGAAAGGAAAAATTTGAGGCAAATACAAAACAGAAAAGCATAAACAATATAGTATCAGGTCATGATCTCTAAAATAAGTATTAAAAATAATTTAAAAACATAAATAAAAGCAACTCAATTCTAACTGGCGAGCAAACTTGTGCCCATGTTTATGGAATAAGGCAGCTACAGAGAAGGGTCTGCGAAGAGGAGCTCACTCATTCACTGGTTGAGTGATATAAAAGCATTTTGTTCTGACTTTCACTTGCTTAGATCAATTAATCCTGTCCCAATGGGCATGCTAGCAAGTGTGCATTGACCAAAGGAATGCTCAAATGCCATGCACGTTAACCTTGTTAAAGTCCTGTCTGTGACTGCTTTGAATAAATCTAGAGAATTTTAAAAAGTAAAAAAACTTGGATTTTTTGCATATGTGGACTCAGATTAAAAGCCAATGAATGTGCAAAAAATAAATGAAATAACTTAACCATAGTTTCTGAAGGAGAACTTTCTTGTTCATAGAACCCCTACAAAAGTTCTCAAATGTGTTAAAGTTTGTGAATCAGTGGTTGCTAATATCCAAAATTTCCTTAGTTCTTCTCTCTCCCCTTTCTTTCTTCCTTCCTTTCTTTCTTTCTTTCTTTCTTTCTTTCTTTCTTTCTTTCTTTCTTTCTTTCTTTCCTTCCTTCCTTCCTTCCTTCCTTCCTCCCTTCATCCCTCATTCCCTCCTTCCTTTCCTTCCTTCCTTCCTTCTTCATTCTTTCGGTCTCTTTCTTTCAGTTCACCTCAGCAGGATATGAGATGGTTTAGTGCATGAGCACTTGCTCAGTTCACAAAAGATGAGTTTGAGTCCCCACCACTCAGCAAAAGACTGAGCATTGCTTCTAGATAGGCATGGGAGTGCGAGGGGGAGGAAATGGTATGTGCAGGCAGGCAAATCCTCCGAGTTCCAAGTCAACCAGTCATTAGAAAATGCAAAGCATCTGGTTCAGTGTAGACTTTCTCTCAAGGTATTAAATCAGAGAACAACAGAAGACCTTCATAGTCCTGCACTGTTCTGGTCTCTGTATGTGCACATAGGGATGTGCCACCAGCACACTCTCTTCTACCACAGACGCAGAAACACACACATATACAACACATATACACAAACATACACACACAGCGACATGCACACACTCACAAGCACAGATATACATTTTCTCACAAGCACATACACACAGAGAGACAGATAGACATGTGCAGACATACACACTCTTTTTCACGCACATACATACATACTCTCTTGCACACACACACTCACACACACCACTGTCTACATAAATTCTAAAAAAAATCCAGTCAGGAACAACCAAATAAAGTATGTTAATAATGTATGAATTAAAATGAAATATCATTTTGCACAATGCTCTTTAAGGAGCGAATGGTTCTTTATTTATCCTTTCACTGAGTCTTTGGTGAGCTAATTCAGGCTTGAGAATCAAAGCAGCAAGTAAAATAATGCTGGAAAGGGAAGCAATTTTACATTCTGCAGAATGAATAATTTTGAAGGGCTTTGCAGTTAGAGAGAATGGAGATCAGCGAGCACCATTCACTGGAGATTTATAGACTGATTTGGCCTAAATGAACGACAGGACTGATGGCTCTGAAATAATAAACTAGGTTCGTCTGGAAGTACTTGAAATGGGTTCTGTGAAATAATTTTAAAATATTCACATGATTATTTGTGTTTTAATCTCACATTGATAGTTGTAATTGCTAAATTAGAATGTCTATACCCTACCATCAAATAAAAATTGTAAGTTGCTATATTATAGTGATAATATTTCAAAATTTACTGTTGAATAAGTACACTTATGCTTGAAATCTGTTATTAATCATATTTAACTCTAACATTATTTTAAAAGTACTTGACATTCAACATTTTATTTAAATATGTATGTACAACATGTACTGTTGCCTTGTCTAGTATGGCAGTCAATGGCTGCATGCTGTTCTTGAACTTAAAATTAATTAAATGTAGTTTAAAATTTAATGTCTAAGGTTAAGTTGCCATAATAGAAGTGAATCTTTGCCACATTTTGCCAGCAAACTCATGTTTAAGTGCCGACCTGATGAACAAGACAGGAACGATCCTAGGTTAGTGTGCTGTTCAGTTATAACTTCTTTGAGAATTAAAGTTAAAGCTAATTTTAACATTAAATGAATTTAAGTCCCTTGTGAAAATATATTAAGAAGTCTCAGTATTGGGAGTAATCCCTGTGTGGAATATGAATCCTTTGATTTGGTTACTGTTTTTCTCTTTGAGTTTATTTTGAGAATAAATAATTATTATACCAAGGAATGGGTAATTTCTTTCCTTTCACAGTTATGTGAATTTTCCCTTTAGTGTAGATTGGTCGTAGACGTCATTTCCCATGTTAACATTTGTAATGACATTTGCTTGTTTCTCTCTCCTCCAACTAAGTAATATAGCTCTGCATATGCGTCGTAAGGCTATTTTATTCTCACTCTAAGTAATCTCAGCTGACTTCTGGGAAAAGTTCTCATATCTGCAAACTTGTGACAACATTGCACATGTGGCAAAATATGTCCAAATGGCTTCCAGAGTTCAAACAGAAGCTAGAAACTTCTAAAGTAGTTTGCTATACAAATTAATTGAAGTTCTTTTTCTGAACATGACTGAGTGTCTCTATTGAGCTGTGACACGTAAGAACAGACAAAGCCAAGGTCAATAATTTTGACCTAGGAGTTACCATTGAGAAAAGGTTTGCCATTATGAAAGGACCAGGTAACACCGCTGATGAGAAGCACAGATTGAAACACCCTAAGGTATTTGTAAGCTGTCTCTCTTATGACTTGTTCTAGAACATTGCTAGTCAGGTCAGCAGCTATTCTGGCAAGTTCGTCTTGCTAGAAATGTTATATGCATGTGCTAAAATAAATTTCTCATTACTAAGTGAAACAGTTTTAAATTCACTTGTTTGTGTTTTGCTTTCCAAAGACCCATAAAGCATTATGATTCTTCTACTTTTATTTGAGGAAATACCTTCCTTGCAAAGTTTGAAAGGCAGAGAAACAGTGAGGCTGGATGAGGAGAGTGGGCAGTCAGAAATTACAATTGAATTTCAAAATACTAAGTTGGAGGAGAGAGAAACAAACAAATGTCATTAGAAATGTTAATATGAGAAGCAACATCTACAACCAATCACTAAAGAAAAAATTCACATAACTATGAAAGGAAAGAAATTACCCATTACTTGGTATAATAATTATTTATTCTAAAAATACACTCAGAGAGAAAAGCAGTAACCAAATCAAAGGATTCATATTCCACATAGAGATTGATACTAATACTGAGACTTCTTAATACAATTTTGTAAGGGACTTAAATATTTACCAACATCCCTAGCACAAGTAATAGTAAATAATGAATCTCTAGGAATCGTCTAATTTCCTGGAGTTGGGGAGTTGAGGGAGGAATCATACTTTGTATTACACAAACTTTGGGTTATTCTATTTTCTGTCACTAAAAAGTATGTATTTTTTCCTGTTCAGCTGATTATTAAATGGAGCTATGTTTTTCTTACACCAGAACTGATGTGATAAATTGGTGCACTCAGTACTATCAGAACAAAGTCTTAAAGAGATTAACATTTTCCTGCTCCTGGAGCTATTTTATAGTAGAACTTATCATTTCCAACTGTCTTCCTTCAGCATGGTCTCACGTAGTACCAGGAGGGAAGCATTAGAGATTGCATTTCTTCTTGGCTATTTTCCCCCGTGGGATGAATAGTGAGGTCAGACAGAGCAGTGGATGCGTTGCAAGCATGCAGCTGCCTGAGAACTGATTGATTCTGAATTCTGAGCCTGGCTCAGTTCTGTGAGGTGAATACTGAGTCCAAAGAACATATATAATCTGCTCTCAAGATTCACATGCATTTATTTATTTATGACCAATTTATTGAATATCATTTATATTTTGGAGAATTCTTTTTCCTAATATTATCCCTTGGCAGCATGGCTATACTTCCTGAATCTCATTTTAGGACCCTTCTAAGCACAACTGCACAATCAGGAAAAAAAACAAACATAATATTGCTTATGAAAAGACTTTTGAAGAATATGAAAATTATTTTGTATTTTTGTGGGTTTGCTCTCTAAAGTGCCTTCTTAGCAAGGGACATATAAACCATCTTCCATGGATGGAAAGGAACAACAAATAAACCAAAGCCAGTGTTCCCTTTTCTCTCCTTGAATAACTGTCTCCAGTCATGCCCAATTTAACTCCCCTGAAAGGAAGAATGTGGGAACACTACTCAGACAGAGGCCAACCGTGACTCTCCTGGGCTCTGACTCTTAGTTAAGAGTTCTGTCAGGAAGTCTTTATATTTCCTTACACACACTAATGTATCTTTGCTTTGTTCTCAGTACAATTAAGTTTCTGAAAAATCTGATTTAAAAATTCCCTCAAATATTACCTATTATAGTCTCTGAGATAACAAGGAGAAACCCAATGGAGGCTACATACTTTCTTCACTGAGTAGAATCGTCACTTGTAACAAATGCCATCCTATGCCAAGAGAATCCTTGAATGTTAGCAGCCACATTGTTTCTTTGGAGAGTCTAGTTTCCACTTCATTTACTTCTTGCAATTGAGAGATGACATAATTAAACAGAATCATCTCAAGTCTGTCCCAAACAGTGCGTGTACGTGATAAATTAAGTTCACCAATAATGAAATAAAGAAAGAACTTGAAAACGGGAAAGTACATGACCTACTCTCTAAATGTTTTATTATTACTCCTTGCTTCAAGTAAATATAGTTAAAGCAGCAAACAAACACTCTCAGTATTAGTGCCCTGAAGGATTCATCAGAATTATTTGGGCAGTAGAAGAGGTTTAAAAGTCAGAATGCTCAGAAAGTGGTCAGAATAACATGAAACACTTTAACCTTCTCCTTTCTCTTCCTTGCTTAGATGCTGTGATAAATGCAGGGTCTCTGCACATGCGAAGCACATGAACTAGGTCTAAGTACATCCCCAGCAGCATTGGAATCTGCAAAGCTAATTAACAACTGTGCAAATAATGAATGTTCTTGCACTCTACAAAATATCACTGATATAAGCAAAAATAATATAAACAAAAAAAGGAGAGATGTGTCTTCCTTGGAGGTACAGCTTCACTTTTTTTTTTTTTGCTTATATTCCTTGGTTTGATCAAATAGTTCAAAAACAAAATGGCACAAACTTTTTTTTCCTCATGAAACTATTTACAATAAATAAACAAATGTGGAAATTTATAGGGCTGTCAAAGAAATAATTTGTCACTGTTTCGCATCCATTTTACTGCTGTAGTTACTGAGTTCTCTCTGTAAAACTGAGCAGCTACGCCAAAGAGGCCCAAAACAGCAACAGTCAAATGTCCTTGGCTTTTTTTGTTCCCCTACGTTTATTAATTCAGGAGTAATGGGGATAAACAAACCCAACAGGAGTTGTTAATATAAACCAGTAGTAGAATTAACAAGCAGCAGTTAGGCCAGTCTCTCTGTAGTTCGCCTGATTGACATCACTGTCCTTAGACTTGACCCCAATCAAGGATCAACTTTCAGTTACCCTTCTTCTACCTACTGGGGATTTGCTGGATCCTGTGGACAACGACAAACGCATCAGACAGCCCGACTTTCACTGGATGGTTGGTGGAACTTATCTGTGTGACCAAGACAGGTATCTAGAAAAAGAAAAAGGAGATTTCTGTGTGTTAGACATGAATGGCGCTCAGGCATAGGGGTGGAGTTATCATGTTTAATGAATAAAATCAGAAAATGGAGATGAGAGACCAGAGAATAAACATGGAACATCACAGAAAATAAGCAGACAATGCCTTGGAATCACATCAGGTTAGTGTTATATATGAAATAAAGTCACAAGAGCTTCTGGTCAAGCATTTGGCAACCCAATATCACAGACAGAGGCTCTCGCAAACATAGTTGAGATTAGAAGCTATGCAATTATCACACACACAAGTACACCATGACTAGTGGGAGCTGAGCTATGATTTCCATAACAAAAATTCTTTTTTTATTTGTTTTCATACATGACTTTGTTCTGTATTTAATTTTATGGATTTTTTAAAACTCCTGTTTATAAACGGTCCTGTACACAGAAAGACCCATAAAAATAAGCATTTTGTATAACATACATTTAATCACATCATCGCCAGTTATTATATTAGTCACATGATACAAGGCTGGTTAATACTAGAATTAAGCCAATCAGGTGAAATGCTTATTGCTCTATGTGGTGGTTCTAATGGAAGCACCTGGGAAACTTATGGGGCGATATGAGATGTCTCAGGGTATCATGCCACAATAACTTAACTTGCTATTAGGTTTCATTCTTCTCAAAGTCCTATTACTTCCCAATATAACCATCCTGGTGACCAGTCTTTGACAAATAGCATCCTCCTTGGGGGGCATGTAGCATCCAAATTCCCATAAAATGCCCATGAGAAAAAATGATCTATTGATTAATACTAAGCACTGGTTTTTAAGTTACCAAATAAAATGTATTACCTAATGTTGGTTCTGAACAGGACATGCAACACTGGACCATCACTTAAAGGATGGAGGAATATGCCTGTAACCATGGAAATGGGGGAAATGCCACTTCTGACCATGATTTCCATATGATTCTCCCAAGTTCTGAAACAAGATTATCTCTCAAGTTCAACAAAATAGTTTTTTACAATTTCAGGTGTCACAGGAAATCAACTCCCTTTCTTCATATTGCTATTCTGTTTCCTATGGTAAATACAGTAACATAGGTAAAATATATCCTTAAAAAACTAACTTTAACATGAGTGAGTGAGTGTGTATGTGTGTGCATGTGCACCACTGCATAAATGTGAAAGTTAGTTGGCAGCCTTTTAAGATACTAGTCTTTCCTTCTATCTTCTTTTAAGGCAAAATCTCTGTTGTTCCCATTGGATTTTGCCATCTTGCTGTGGGAAATACAAAAACATTTTATTGTTGTTGTTGTTTGTTTATATTTCCCTAGAAGAATTCATCTTTGACTAGTCAACTGCTGGTCAATCTCCCAGCTATTAGATGATACATAGGAATTTTGTGTAATGACACATTTGAAAGTAGCATAGCCCAACCCTGATCAACAGAATCACAAATTAAATCAGTTATTACAAGAGTAGTAAGAATGGGATTGATTTTAGCTTTAGATGGGGTAATTTGTTACATAGCCAACCTGGACAATACATTCTCTATTAGGTCAAATAGTTGAGATAAATTTTATGCTTGTGTCAACATAAGATGAAGTTTCTCTTAAATTCTACTAAAAAGATTAGAATCTTCTAGTAAAACTTTAAGGTTATTTTCAATCCTCCCAGTTTTGTGTGTGTGTGTGTGTGTGTGTGTGTGTGTGTGTGTTGCACAACTGTAGGCATAAAAACTGTATGTGTTTGAGTGTCCTGTTCTATCACCCTCCATCTTACTTCTTGGAGACAAGGTCTCTCACGGAACATGGAACTGGACTGGTGCAAAGCAAGCCTCCACAGTCCTCCTGTCTCCTGCTCCCATTGTTCCGTGGCTTCAGGTACATGAAAAGTCACCCAGAGATTAAGTGAGCATTAGGATTTAAACTCAAGTCTTGTGTTTGCTCAGCAACTATTTTTACTATGGGACCATCTCTCCCGCAGGTGCTTTGACTTTTTCAAGTTTTAATAAGGAAAGTAAGTGTTAACAATGATTCAAACAAAATTATAAACTGAACACTGTTCATTTCTGTACAAAGGAAAGTAAAAAAAATCCTCATTTTCAGTCAAAAGACTTATTTTAGCTTGCCACCAGTCTTGAAATGTACACATTCTTGAAGCTTTGATTTGGGGACAGTCAGTGTGAAAACCTCTCTTGTCTGTGTAGTATCCCACTATGAGTCTTAATGCAATATGGGAACATAGAGAAGAAAATAAATTTCTAAAAATGTCTCCTACCCAGAAATTGGTTACTTGAAAAGTCATAATGTTCTTGCTATTTGATAAGGTAAGCCAAAATACATTCATTCATTCAGCAGATTATAAATTAACATATAGTGAGTAGCAATGAATTAACCAGAATTACTCAGAGAACAAAGCAACGACCTTGTTCTCATGGAGTTTCCAATTCACAGGATATAGACTGATACCAAAGAAAGTTATGAAGACAACAACACAGACTATCAGAATGCGCTTGGGTCTCACGTAGGTGATAAAATAAGGTAAATAAATAGAGAGTGATGGGGGAATGTTGTGAAATATTTGTTTAACCAGGCAAATATGTGTTACATTTGTTTATGTTGTATTGGTTTGATAATGAAAAGATGTGTTGCCATTTTTTTTTTAGCTTACCTGCTTAAGGCACCTGATTGGTCTAATAAAAAACTGAATGGCCAGTAGCTAGGCAGGAGGGAGATATGTGGCATCGTGGGGTAGAGAATATAAATAGGAGAAGAAATATAGGCTTGAAAAGGAAAAGGAGAAATAATGAGAGGAGGAGAGAAAGAGAGACACGCCTGGAGCTAGAAGCCAGGTAGCCATCAGCCAGTCAGACACAGAGAAAGCAAGAAAGTAAGAAAAGGGAAAATACTCCAAGGCAAAAAAGGTTGGTAAAGAGAAACAGATTAATTCAAGTTAAAAGGGCTAGCTAGAGGTGTGCCTAAGCTTGGCTGAGCATTTAAAATTAATACTAAGTCTCTGTGTCATGATTTCAGAGATGCTTGGTAACTTAAAAGAAAAAGCCTGGTGCATGAGGAGGGGGTGTCTCTGTAAGGAGGAGAGTTGGGGAAGGAGTTTCTAATATGACTTTGCATCAGAAATGAAAATAATAGAAAGAGTCTGCCATGTGAAACAGTTCCTGGTAGAACCCAATGGATGTCAAGGGTCTGAGGGTGTTGTTTTCAGTGTTTTTAGTAAGTAAAGTATTACTTTTCCTGCGGTAGCACAGAAAGGGGTGGAAGGCTGAGAGGGGCAAATCACAAGGGGATATTTATCCCTTAGAAGTTATGGCTATGGCACTAGGATATATTTCAAAAAGTTTGGAAAGAGTTGCCTGGACATGGTAATGCCCACCTGTAAATCCTTCACTTGAGCGGTCAAATCAGTAGGACTGAGAGTTCCAGACTAGCTTAGATTTTATAAAATGACCTCCAAATAAAGCAAAACAAACAGCAGCAGCATTAAAACAAACCAAACAAAATCCACCTCCATAAACTAGTCCAAGTTTAAAAACAAAAGTACATAAGAGAAGATTTGGAAGAGAGCTGTATGGAGAAGGGGATTCCTTTACATTTGTACAATGAGAGAGAAGCACAGTGGCTGCCATGGAATCAAGACTGGGCAGGGCAAAGGGAGGAAAGCTCATAAGGAGGGTATACAGCTGTCTGGGGGAGGGCATGATACCTGGTCTACAGGATGCTAGGGATGCCAAAGGATAGATCCTTGATGGACTGGATCCATACCACTGTCAAGAAGGACTTGACAAGGGAACTGAGAGAAGTGAGATTGAGTTGGCACTATGAGTTTGGTGTCAATGGCAAGAAAATCAGTTCTGTGCATCATAAGAGATGTTATGTTATCCAGCTTCAGGGAGGTGGTCATCATGTAGCACATAAGAAGGGTGTCCCCTGGCCATGCGGAGAACACTGGAAGCCTTAAAGAACGGGAGGGAAAGGTATGGAGGTTGAGAATGAGGAACGGGAGAGGGACAGTCAGTTTACAACACTGCCACTGACTTCTTATGATCTCCTTTAAGATGTCATGGGCTCCAAGAGTCATTTGCTTGAATTCTGATGCTTTGTTCTGATTAAATATTAAAATGAAAATGTACAAGGAGTTTTCAATTTCCTACATTTTCCTAGAAGTCACCAAAGCCTTTTCATAAAATAATTACTATCTATGTTTTGAAATGCTGCTTTTGCCAATTGAATAAATACCTAATATCCTCAGAGATCAATGAAGAAAAGATGAAACTAAGCAGCCTTTCTCAGGGGTTTCATATTGAAATAAATATGTGTATCTCTGCTTAGTATTTACATAGCCTTTTTTCTCTGCCTTTTTGGGGTGTATTTTTTTTGTCTATGGATACCAATGACTATGATTTTAACTATGGTCAACAAATAGGCTGAGCTCATTGACAACAAAAAAGAATAGTGTGTAGTTTCCTTGTTGCCTTTGTGAAGGTTAATATCCTTCAGAGGGAGGGATTGTTAAAAGCTACATATAAAATAAACTGCTCTTCCTTAACAACAGTGAAGCAATATCTTTCTCCTTCTCCCTCTCTCTCATGTGTGTATAACCTATTTCACTTATCCTACAAAATTTTCAGGAAATACATCTTATTGTCATGATACTCTGTAACCTAAAGTTAAAATATGAAGTATCTAAGTCAGTAAATCAATCATAAAATAATTTACCCAAATTCCCAAATTCTTCATAACTTATGGAAAGCTGTATTCTTAACCCTTTCTACATGGAAACATTTAGTGATCTATGGGTCAGTCATATTGGGGCAGTAACAAGGTACTATGAACCCTTAACCTGAAGTATTTTATCTTATACAAAAATGTGTTTCCACTGTCTTCGTGTGTCTACAACTGCTGTTATTTAATGATTAAAACAAACCAAATTGAAAATGGACCTTTGTGCAACATGTAGTACTAATTCCTGAGAAGTGGTTTGCAAGT